TATGGTTTATTGTGTTCGGTTTGATTTCTCAAAGCCATTAAGTATTCGTCCTTGATAAAAGAGGGCCCTTTATGTTATTCGACACTATGAAGAGGATATATCCTATTAATTTAGGTGTGAAACAAAAAATCTATCCCGAGTGTCATGTTGAATGGATTGACGTTAAGCCTGATAAGAATTTGATAACATGCTAAGTAGAATAGCAAACATATCCGATTAATGGAAATAGTGCTTTGAGATTTTCATTAACTTGAATGGAGCAACCTATATCAATACATTGCCAAATAATAAGCCTTTCCAATAGATTTAAACTTGTGGGAATGTAGGATCCAAAATGAAGCTCATGAGCCATTAATAGTAGGATTTCTATCCAACTAACATAGTCGTTATTGGACTCGATACAAGACATAATGATTGCTCTGAATAATTTTGATCCGGTTAAATTTTTTCATAGAAGGCCACTTGCTGAAGTATTTATTGACCCGTGTTCGATCTTCATTGCTGCACTTTCCATCCATATACATATGTAATCCCCCAAGTGTCTAATTTTGAAGTTTGAAGACTCGGGCACTGGTCTTTCCTTGCACTTATTGTGGCTTTGTTGGTGAATCCCAAGTTCTAATTTTTTTAATCTTTCAATGGTCCTATTCGTGAAAAGGAAATTGGGGGGGGGGGGGGGGTCAAGAAGTATTTTATATGAAGACAGAACCTTTGTCCTTTTTGGTAAGATATTTTGTGACACTCGCTGGGAACGTTCATAGTTCTGGGTAGTTGCCTAGGTTCTCATCATTTGGGTTAGGTTGGCTGTGACTTTCATTTAAAAATATTAGTACAAGTAAATGAGCACTGTAAAAAATGACAAAAAAAAGGGATACCAAACTATTGCGTATCCTTTAGAAGTATTAGATCTTCAAGTGTGCGATGTTTCAATTAGTCGGAAGCTGCTTTCCATCCATTGTCTCTTATTTATACACTTATTTACCGGGTGTCCAGCGAACTCGATAAGAGCCTTCCCAGTTGGTGCCGAGCTTTCCGGCGTGAATATGTTGTGTTGTTGGGAATACTTTCTAAGGGACATAATCCCCTATCTTAAATTGTCATAAATTAGCTATCAAGTTATAATACTTTTCGATTGTTTAATTTTGCACGACCCTCTAGATCAGAGACATTTCTTGATGAACTTTAACCAGATCCAAGTTTCACGACCTAGCCTAGGGCCATGACGGATAACCAATGTCAAGTGATGATCATCACTAAACCTGCTAATAATATACTAATCATGAATATAAACTGATAAACTGAACAAGCATAAGCATAGCTGATAAGAACTGTACAATCTGGAAAGTCGGCAGGACTAACACAAGCTGACATATAAAAGTATACTAACTGCACAGGTGCATATCTACAGGCCTCTAAGAGTGCTGAACTGAACAAGTACTGGATGGGACAAGGCCCTGCCATACCCAAACTAGCTGACTATACACATACCATAAGATAAGTAACTCGTGGAGTAAGCAGAGTGACTCCAACAGCTGGTGGATGGCCTACAGATGTGGATTAAGCGCCGATCTATCTATACATGTGCGGCATGAAACGCAGCGCCACAGAGGGACGTGAGTACGATATGTACAAAATGTATAGGGTGTAAAACATATGTAAAGCATACTAAAGTATGACTGTAAGTTGAAAATCTGGATATAAGCTGAAAGCTAAATAAGAGTCTGAACTAGCAACTGATCTTGAATTGAATCGAAGTTTAAGCTGAAACTGTGCTGAAACTGAACTACTATCCAAACTGGTACCTGTTTGGCGTATGGGATATATCAACCTCATTAGGTAATTGTACATCTGAACTAGCCTCATGTATAGTCATGCAATGCAAATTTTAGCTATATACATGTATATAACATGCCTGACTGGCATTATGGGCTATATCCCCCCAGCAGGTAAATATATAATCAATAGGCCCAACTGGTGTTATAGGTTATCTCACCCCAGTTATATAATTAATAGGCCTCGATGGCATTATGGGATATATCCCCCTAACATAATCAATATAAGCATGCATGAGGCATAACACATGTGGCAACATCATATGGACTCAAGAGATCATGAAGGAAACCATAGACGGAATCACAAACGTAATCTGATGCTCGTCATCCATAAGTTGGATGGAGGAGCCTATCCGCATTTTAGGGAGAAACTATTTACATGAGATACTAAGGATAATTAAATCATTAAGATCCTTCTAAAATAAATTAGAACCAAGGAACTAAAAACTTATCCAACTCTTCAAATTTACAAAAATTTCGGCAGAGTTTCTCCTAAAACTGGATGATCCCAAAAACAAAAATCAAGAACCACAATATAAATGGGAATGGATACCCGGAAAATATTATCTTAAACTAAAGGATATTATCTTAAACTAAAGGATATTATCTTAAACAAAAGGATATTAAATGATCCACAATAGTGTCAAATGATCGACAAACGGAATTATGATCGTAATGTTGACTCATAGTGGCTAACTTGTGACATGAAAGTTTAAATATGATTTAGGAATAATCTAAGCATTTAAACATGGTCATTAAGATTATATAATCTTAAATGAATCTATTAGGATCAAATGGGGTCTTGGTATACGTAAAAACATCAAAGGAACGGAACAAAGAGAAGTCCGGATGGCATAGGCCAAATGGGTGATTTTCCCTTTTTGTTTTTGTTGTGTTTCGAAGTTCCAACCTAAACTAGTTTATTCCATACTTCATATATGGAATTGAATACTATACAAGGATACAATACATGGTGAAATTTCCCTTTAACAATGCTTAAAAGATCAAGAATAAAGGCTAGAACATAGCTCAACCAAATCATGTCGAAAACGAAACGAAAACCCTACATACCTCTTGTGTTCTTGCTTCCAAACCTTGTTCCATTTTATCTACACCCTTACTTATTCTTGTATTGATAAAATACATAGGTGACAAGATTGCTTATACACCAAACTTTTTCCAAAACTCAAGCTATAAGGAGAAAGGAGGACGGCAAAGTCTTACCTGTATCGTAGGGGTTGCATTGATGTGTTCGTTTCTTGATTTTGAGTTGCGGATGATGAACTTGCATCAAAACCCTAATAAAATTCTTGAAGAGCTATGGAATCTCTTATTGTGATTGATTTTCTAGAAAATGAGGAAAAAGAAGACTAAGTCTTCTATTTATAGTAAGGTTGAAAAGTCAACCACATGTGTGCTTCACCGCCCTTCTTCCGACGCTCATACCTCTTTAACCGGATATCATATGAACGAACGGTCAAGAGAGTTGGAAAAAAAATTCCTATACCTTAAATTTGGTATATAATACGTACCCAAAAGACCTCATATAACACATGACATTAATTTCTCAAAAAGCTTCGTTATATGGCAAATCCTTAGTCGGTTTTTCGCAACTTAAATCCGATTTTTCTCAAACTTCATATTCTATATCCAAACATATTGTATAGTCATATTATGACTTTAAAATCATCCAATCATACACAGCAAGTCATTTACACAATATACGATATCACAGAAGTACAGGGTGTAACAATCTAGTAAGGTCCCGTAAAATTTTACCTAGAACCCGGGGTTTCGTGGTGCCGAGGTAGGCTAATGTGTTTGAGGATTGTAGAAATTCTTTGTGGAGAGCTTTATCACTGTGTTGCGGACTATTTGGGTTGTGTAATATGTTGGGGAGTTAGCACGGATCCTATATTTATTCCACCCTATAGAATGGCACCGGCAGAATTGAAGGAACTAAAGGAATAATTGAAGGATTTGTTAGAGAAGAGATTCATATGGATAAGTGTGTTGCCTTGGGACACACCAGTTCTCTTTGTAAGGAAGAAAGATGGGTCATTGAGGATGTGTATTGACTATCGGCAGCTCAACAAGGTCACAATCAATAGTAAGTACCCACTGCCAAGGATAGATGACTTGTTCGATCAATTGAAGGGTGCTAAGTATTTCTCCAAGATTGACTTAAGATCGAGATATAGCCAATTAAAGATCATGGAGCAGGATATTTCGAAAACAACTTTTAGGACCGGGTATGGGCACTTTGAATTTCTGGTGATGTATTTTTGGGCTAAGAAATGCCCTGGCAGCTTTCATGGATATTATGAATCATAGGGTAGTTATACAGACTCTATATCAGCACAAGTTGTATGTGAAGTTTTTGATGAGTGAATTTTGGCTTGAATTTGTCACATTCTTTGGTCATGTCGTTTCCAAAGAAGGAATTAAGGTTGATCCTCAAAAGATTGCAGTTGTGAAGAATTGTCCTAGACCTACAACTCCAATAGAGATTCGCAGTTTGTTGGGCTTAGCTGGGCATTAAGGGAAATTTATGGAAGGGTTCTCTACTCTTTCCTCTCCATTGACTAAATTGACGCAAAAGGTAGTTAAATCGAGTGGTTGGAGGGTTGTGAAAAGAGTTTCCAAGATTTGGAATCTAGACTGACTACGACACTAGTGTTGACCTTACCAGGGGGTACGGATGGGTTTGTGGTATATTGTGATGCTTCAAGGATTGGACTTGGGTGTGTATTGATGCAACTTGGCAAGGTGATCGCTTATGCTTCGAGGCAACTCAAGAATCATGAGAATAACTATCCGATACATGAATTAGAACTTGTGGTGGTGGTGTTTGAACTTAAGATTTGGCGTTATTATTTGTATGGGGTCCATGTAGATATATTCACGGACCATAAGAGCCTTCAATATATTTTTAAGCAGAAGGAATTGAATATGAGGCAGAGAAGATGGCTTAAGTTACTCAAGGACTAGGGCATTGATATTCTATATCATCCAGGGAAGGCTAATATTTGTGTTGCGGACTCTAATGAAGGAGGGGTAATTGTGCAAAATAGGGATGAATCATCGCTTGTTGTGGAAGTCAAGGAGAAGAAATACGATGATCCGTTGTTGGTACAATTGAAGGAGGGGAATCATTAACATAAGATCATGGATTTTTCTCTTGGTATGGAAAATGGTATTCTAAGATACAAAGGGCGATTATGTGTTCCTAATGTAGATGGTCTCCGGGAAAGAATCATGACCGAGGCTTACACTTCCAGGTATTCCGTGCACCCAAGCTCTACAAAGATGTACCATGATCTTAAGGAAGTCTACTGGTGGAATGATATAAAGATGAATATAGCAGACTTTGTGGAAAGATGTTCAAATTGTCAACAAGTGAAGGCCGAACACGAAAGGCCCGCTGGGTTGGCACAAAACATAGAAATTCCATTGTGGAAGTGGGAGATGATCAATATGGACTTTGTGGTAGGACTATCTCACACTCCTCGCAAGTTCGACTTGATTTGGGTAATTGTGGATCGACTCACAAAATCATCAAACTTCTTACCTATTAAGGCTACCGACACAACAGAATGTTATGCTCAGTTGTGTATCAAGAAAATGGTTGTGTTGCATGGAACTCTGGTCTTTATTATCTAAGATTGAGGGGCACAGTCATGGCTAATTTTTGGAAGAAATTTCTGCTTGGTTTGGATACTTAGGTGAATCTTAGTACACCCTTCCATCCACAGACTGAGGGGCAGGCAGAGAAGACTATTGAGACACTTGAGGATATATTACGCGCTTGTGTTCTTGACTTCAAGTGTAGCTAGGATGATCATTTGTCACTCATAGAATTTGCCTACAACAACAGTTACCATGCTAGCATTCAGATGGCACCGTTCGAGGCCCTATATGGTAGCTGATGTAGATCCCCCATTGGGTGGTTCAAGGTTGGGGAAGCAGAGTTGATAGGGCCAGACCTCATGCATCCTATGGAGAATGTTAAGATCATTAAGGAATAGTTGAAAACTGCTCAGAGTCGTCAGAAGTCCTATTCGGATGTGCATCACAAGGATTTGGAGTTTAAAGAGAATGGTTGGGTATTCTTGAAGGTTTCCCCCATGAAGGTATAATGCAGTTTGGGAAGAAAGGGAAATTGAGTCCTAGGTATGTCGGGCCATATAGAATCATTTAGAGGGTTGGTCAGGTGGCTTACAGGCTTGAACTACCTCCAGAGATGTCGTTAGTGCACCTAGTGTTTCATGTATCTATGTTGAAGAAGGTGGTTGGATACCTGTCGCTTATTGTTCCGGTTGAGACTATTGAGGTTAATGAAGATTTTACTTATGAAGAGATTCCAGTTGGCATTCTCGATAGGCAAGTCCGAAAGCTGAGAAATAAAGAGATTGCCTCCGTGAAGGTGATGTGGTGAAACCAACAGGTTGAAGAGGCCACCTGGGAGGCCAAGGAAGAGATGAAGAAGAAGTACCCTCATTTGTTTGAATAATTATGTAGTTGTGTTCTATGAAAACGTTTTACTTTCCATGAATTATGTTCCACTTACTAGAATTTATGTTAAGGGTGTTCCTTTCCGGTAATGTAATGCTTATGAGGCCATGATTATTGTTGTCTTCATGTTATATTACGTTGTTGGATTATGTATATGTTTTTAGGATTGGTTTATGGGATTCTCTAGCGGGTAGATAGGCCCAGGGGAGACTCTAGCGAAATGTTTGAAAATTTAGGGAGTTAGTCAAAATATGGAACTGCTGGTGTGTGAAGTAAGAGTTGAGTCACATTGGGTTTTGATGGTGGATTTTGACCGTCATTCGAGGACGAATGATCCTAAGCGGGAGAGGATGTAAGGTCACGTATAATTTTACCGATAACCTAGGGTTTCGTGGTGCCGAGGAAGGCTAATGTGTTTGAGGATTGTAGAAATTCAACAAGCTCACCGCTGTACGGACCTTTTGGGCTGTGAAATGCATTGGGGAGTCGGAGGAAAAATTATTGCAGAACATGGCATTTCTCCGGTCCATTATGCAAACGTAAAACTACTCCACGAACCGCAGATCGACTGCTAGGTGGAGCTGAAAAATGGCCAATTTTTGGAGGTCGTTTTGCGGTCAACTATGTGATCGCATAATCATTTCACAGGCTGCACATCCATCGCATAACCAGCATGAAAAAATTTTGGATGGAGATTTTGCGGTACGTTATGCGATCGCATAACTAATATGCAGACTGTAGATCTGTTGCAGACTAGACCAGTTCAACCCAGTTTTGGTGGACCATTTCGCGGTCCATTGTGCAGACTGCTTACCTATTTGCGGTCTACTGTGTAGTTGCATAATTGAGTTCAGAGGATCCATTTTTCTGTATTTATAATCCAACCCCATTTTGATTAAAAATCATTGGGGCTCGTTTAGAAGGCAAAAATCAGATATTTTAGAGAGAGGGGAGTGCTCTAGAGAGATAAGGAGGGGCTCCAACATAGTCCACTTCAATACTTAGATAATTCACAAGGAAAGCTTGCAAAGTTATCTACTAAAGAGGTAAGGTTCTAACCTTAGCTTTCAATTTTGAGTTTTTGCTGAAGTTAGAAAATGGGGAGTGTGTTTCTTGGGTATGGGAGTTGTTATTTATACATGCATGTACCAATAAGGATGGTGGGGAGGCCATCCAACTAACATGGGTATGCTCTTGGTGTTGGATTAATTGTGGGGTGAAGGAGACCTTGTAGAATTTGCACATATAGTGTTTGATAAAATGCTTAAATGAGTTGAACAACTGAACCTCATCCTAATTATGATTCCATCTTGTCATCTCTCTAATATATTAAAGTCGCTAGGATTTCCGGAATGTAGTAGTAAATTAAGGAAACCTCAAGCAAGGTATGTTGGCTAAACTACTCTCAGAGAATTGAATTCCATGATATTCCCATAAGTTGCAATTATGATTGGCTCTAGTTTCTCTTTCTCATGTTCCGAGTCCTTCCTAGTAAATTTGATTATTTTAAATAAGTGTTGTGTTGAAATATGTATGTACTCAAAAGGTGTTAAGAAAACTCAATATGGTTAAGACTCATGTTGCTCATATACTTATTTAAAATCTTGGTTCCAAATGCTCTTGTTGTCGATAATCTATGATGATGCTTGAAAGTGAAAGAAGTGAATATGAGATATAAAATTTGGCCATTGTGCCTAGAATGAGAATTTCACTTGTGGCCACTAATGCCAATGAAATGAAAAGACGTGTGATGATTATGAAATAAGCTGTAACTTCTTTATATAATAAATATTTTTGGAGTATCATTTAGTCACCGAGGAAGGGAAGGTTGAATGAACCTAACTCTGAAACTACGCGTGCCGGTGTAGGAGTGATTGAGGGGTAAAATCCCCATATTGTTGTGATGAGATTATTTCCCTAAAATGGGATGAGATTGATGTGTTGAGATAATTCCCCTTTATTGGGATGAGATAATTGCTAGCAGAAAGTGATGTCGACCCACACGGAATTGTGGTGAGATGGCTTAGCCGATCGGGCCGTGATCAGACTCCATAATAAAAACACGATGGTATATCAGTACTAAGATCTCTCAACCTAAAATATTGAAATTTACTTGAAAACTTATCTTGATCCTAAATTGATGCTTTTATATTGTCTGAGGCTTTCATTGATCCTATGTGTTTCTCCTTGTACTGTTACTCAATTCTTTGAGAGGATGTTTAGTCTTACATACTAATACTATTCCATATGTACTAACGTCCCTTTTTCGAGGGGTGCTGCATCTTTAATGGAGGCAGGTGATTCCACAGCAAGTGACATCGATTAGTGATAGCGGTATACCCTCTTCTCAGCTAACTTGGTGAGTCCCACTTCATATCAGGGTCTTGTATCATTTGTTCTTTATGTATAGCATTTTGAGGTATTGACCGGACCTTGTTGCCGGCACCATCACATTACTCTTTTGTATCCATGCGAGGCTCCATAGATATGGTGTGGGTTGTATCTTGGTTTTGGAGGGTCAAAGTAGAAATGTTGTATTTGTATCACATGTTTCACTTCTAACTATGAATGTGTAATGTATCTTTGGGAATTATAAATGAAGTAACTAATGGTAATGGAATTGGTGTTGTTCATGAAACCCTCTCATTGTTAACTAATGGAATACCTCTTCTCTCTATTAATGTGTAAAGTTGGGTAGAAAGCATCTAGGAAGCTTGCTTGACCAGGTTATCTCGGTTGAGCACCGGTCGTGCTCCTGAGGCAGGGGCATTAAAACTTGCTATCCGAGCATATGGTTTTAAAGTGTCCTAGGATGTCTTGGATTTGTGTCTAGTAGAGTTCTTCTTATCGGTATTGTCACAAACCAAACCAATAGGTCGCAACGGGTGCCCGAGTCCTACCTGTCGAATACCCTTAAGCATGCGTTTAAGATATAAACATGAATAAAATATGCAAGGGAAACTTGTCCAAAAGACATATGTACATATACATGCGGAAATACAGTGGGGCGAGCCGACAAGGCTACTATAGACAACTATATACCCAAAAATGGAAGCCGACAAGGCCACATACTATCCAACTATACATAACTGTCTACGGACTTCTAATGGAAGTACAACTGTACAAAGACGGGACTGAGCCACGTCATACCCACATATATATACAAGCATATCGTACCAAAATCAAAAGTAGCTCCGGATCAAGTGGAGCACGCCAACTCTCGCTGATCGAGAATCCTAAGAAGGGGGACCATTGACTTGCCTACCAGAACCTGCGGGCATGAAACGCAGGCCCCGAGAAATAGGGCGTTAGTACAAATAATATACTGAGTATGTAAGACATGAAAATCAGTACATAAAAGACATAGATGAAACATGGAATAAAGGAATCCATCTGTAAATCTGAATAACTTTGTAAATTTCGAAATATTTATGATGTCATGCATGTGCAAATATATGTCATGCCATGCATAGGTATAGGTGTACATAATATCATCAAGCCTCTGAGGTCATCCCATCATATCTTTTCAGCCACTGTGGGCAACATCATTAACATATACCATCTAATCAGGTGGTGGTGCGTATATAACGCCGCAACCTTTTTCCCATATTCCATGTAAATATAATATACATATCTACGCGTATATAATGCCATCTGGTCATGGGTCAATGTACATGTATAAATGCATGAAATGCACAAGAAATACGTTAATAAGATTTTCTCGGAATGCCATAAAAATCAATATATCTTTCGGATAAACTTTATCAAATACGTATTTTTTTGAGACCCATGAACAGAAAATATAATAATAATTCACATGGGGAATCAAGAATATAGACACCCCTAATATTTCTATGAATAGAGTCATTTATAAAAATTGCGTATTTTGCTCGTTTCATTTGTATTATTTGGATCATGCCAAAAAGAAAAAAGGGATAGCCTTAACATACCTGAAGTAGGAAAAATCCGTATGATATTCTTCGAAAAGATTGCACCGTACTCCTTTATGACCGCAAAATTCTTACGTTGTTAGGCTTCTAAAAATTCTCGCTGTTAAGTGTTGAGAATCAGAAATTTGTTGAAACTTTTGTAAGATGGCAACGTTCTGTTTATAAAACTTCCTAACTTATTAATTCATTCCTAAGTCCTAATGGTAGGAGATAGACTAAAATTATGATTTTTGGTGTTATTGATTGTAGGGATGGTATAAAAATGAAGTGTCCATTTGTTTGTTAATTGATTGCCACCTAATCAAGAAGACTAAAGAGTCATTCTCTTAGTTTGTGGCTTTCTGCCACGTGTTTTTTTTTGGGTGGGGGAGGAATTAATCTTATCCACTAAATTTGTTAATTAACTAGGTAATGCCCCATTACCCGTAGTTAATCAATTACCCGTATAATTAAGAATTATCTCAAATTAACTAAAAATACTACTTATTCTTAATATATTTTATAAATCATACTATCACGGCCATAATGGTACTAGTCCTTAAATATTGGGTATTATCGCTCGACCCGTATTTATCCCAAATCTGCAACCTTCAACGAAACTAATTTTCTTTAATTCGTGTGCCCTTTATCCTTCATGACACTTACTTATCACTTGTTATAAATAGCATAAATATGTTAACCTCAAGATAATCTCATCCCCGTGTCTACGTCGATTAACTGAAGATAAAAGTTTAACGTACGAAAATGCGAGATGTAACATCCTTCCCCCCTTAGAAATATTCGTCCTCGAATGTTTAATTCTCCTGGATCTACATAACTTTGGCAGAGTCGCCTTTGTAACAACACTACTACCAACTCTCCCTATAGAAGCTTAATAATTCAACGCCACGTAGGACCATAATCATCAATAACGACAACGGCCTCACACGACCAATCACAATAACTAACACAATAATCCGTACACGTACCTTAAGGTACTGATGTCTCAGTTGGATCCTTGTCTGGAGGAGGAAATAAGTAGGGATATATAGACTTCATGTCTTCCTAGGCCTCCCAAGTCATTTCTTCCACATTGTTTTTTTCTCCAAAGTACTTTCACCGAAGCTACGTCTTTAGTTCTCAATCTCCAAACCTGTCTGTCTAGTATAGCAATGGGAGTTTATTCATATGATAGCTGCTCTGTGACCTGAACGTCGTCAACTAACACAATTCTGGAAGGATATTCGATACATTTACGGAGCATACACACATGAAAGACTGGCTGTACAGATTCCAAGTCTGAAGGCAAGTCCAACTCATATGCTGCTTGGTCTACCTTGCGTATGATCCTATATGGTCCAATGTATCGAGGGCTAAGTTTTCCCCTTTTTCCAGACCTCGTAATTCCTTTCATCGGTGATACTTTTAGGAATACCCAATCGTCAACCTGAAATTCCAAGTCTCGTCGTCGATTATCTGCATAAGACTTCTGACGACTTTGAGCTGCTAATGGCCTTTCCTGTATAAGCTTAATTTTATTGATTTCCTGCTGTACCAATTCTGGTCCTACTAACGTAGCTTCCCCAACAAAGAACCACCCTATAGGCGATCTACACTTCCATCTGTAAAAAGCTTCATATGGAGGCATCTGAATACTAGAATGGTAGATATTATTATATGCGAACTCAATAAGCGGCGGATGATCATCCCAGCTACCTTTGAATTCTATCACACAAGCTCGTAACATATTCTCCAGTGTCTGAATAGTACGCTCAGCCTATCTGTCTGTCTGGGGATGAAATGTTATACTAAGAATTACTTGAGTCCCCAATCCTTTTTGGAAAGACCTCCAGAATTTAGCTGTAAATTGAGCTCCTCTATCCGAGATAATAGATATAGGGACACCA